TTAACCATAAAAAAAATTTGATATAAATGTTTGGCCTACTTCCAAAATCGGTTGCCTGCAGACCTAAATTCAATAGTCTCGTTGTTCGACTCGATCGAGCCAATCGTCGCTGGACGGATGAAATAAGTTCACAAAAAATGGAAATTAGTGGCCCAGGCAAACGAAACCTCTAAACTAACACTAACCACCAAACGACAGTGAGTGAGTTCATGGGGACCTATACTCTCCGGCGTGTTCAAAAGGAAAACATCGTTCGTCCGTTTTATTAACATTGTACTGCACAACTTTCGATTTAAACCAGGATGATTATAGCGTCAGGATTTTTTTTTTTTTTAACGTGCAGGTGCGCTATCGACTTATAGCGCGTATACGCGTATAAGCGATATGGCAGTGCTGTGTTATATAGCACGGTCGGGATGTAACTACTTGTAAATTTCGTTGTATTACGAAATTTTAATTTGTAGGTCTAAACTCGAAACTCGATTAAAGTGGGCATCAGCATTTATGTTGTAAATTCTTGTACTGTAAATGTATGGTATCGTTTTTATTCTAGTACTAATACGTCTTTCCACGTACTCGTCGTATGTTTGCGTAAATTGTTGTAACCGTCATTTTACACGTCGATGCCGTATATTGTCAACGTCCTCTTCTTATTTTCTCGATGTAGTTCACGTTCGTCGTTATTATGGGGACATTAATTTCACGTAAATCACCACTAACGTGCAGAACAAACAAGGAGTTGGTAAGAAACCAACTGGAATTTTTGACCAAGTTTCCACCCTGTTAGGGGCATAGACTCAACCCTCCGATTAGGTCTTACTCGACGGAAATTACCTCTCCTGTAAAACTGGTTTTCACCAGGCAGATGCTACCTGAAGTCAGAGAAGACCAAAGACTGGACCACGCTCGCAGGTCACAAACAAAACACCTACTTAAGGGGAATCCCTCCCCCCCGTCCAGGTACATTTGTAAATATTTTTTTTTGCCATGAAAATTTTCTGAATTTCCCAGGGTACAGTACCCGGTAAAAAGGTGCACTGAGTATTAAGGTAACAACTCCAGATGATATCTTACTCTAAATATAAGAGCGTTAAAGGTTTGAGTCGTAACCAAAGAGTATGTCGTAGAGAGACATTATGATGCCAATATACTGTGACCTTGAGAGAGAGACGGAAATTGCCGAGCAATATCGAGAGCATCGAGCAGCTGCAGGGGTCGGGGGTGGGAGGGATACTCGTGTCACACCGAGGACTACCATCCGCTGCAACACTTAGGCGCGATTCGGAGGGCACCTCCACAACAAAGGAACAAATCGCTATGTGTCGCTTTGTGTCGGTTTGGGTGGGACTCGTGTGTGTCTCAGTGTCGGGCTTCATTTTTGTTTATTCACACCGAACTATAATCTCCATTCTTTTTCCAAACTATTGCGACACCTCTTACCCAGACGTCTCTCTTAAAGCGGCGCTAGGGGTTGACAGACAATAGTCGGACGTCGGTCCCTCCTCTCTAGTCGTTCCTCGACGTACGTGACTCACACACACCACTCCTTCAGGCACCTAACCAGTTAACACTGGTTAGTCGCCCCCCGAAAATTGGCATTGCCGATGCAGGCGCTTGCATTACATTACCGAGTGTGCCTAACCAGGTAAAGCAAGGCCCATGCCACCTGTAGTACGTATGGGCCTTCATAGTTTCCTGTTACTGCATAGAGGTGCTCCGCAAATCCCCTCCATAAAAGACCACAATCTCAAAATGAGCGATTGTCCCACATGAAACTCCCAAAACACTGAGACGTCTGGCAAATGTACGTATTTTTGGAAGTATGTGTGTTTCCCCCTGCGAATTATCGGTCTTTTATGAAATTATTGGAAAAAATTTAACAGTTTTGAGTTCTTTAACACAAAAAGATCCTACCATTGCTCACCACCCATACTTATTCCGAAAGACAGTTGTGGGAACTATCGAGAGAACATGTCGACCCAAAGTCCAAACCCGTGTTCGTTTGCTGGTCAAACATTTTGTCATTAAGTTACACCCTATCTTAGTATGTCACCTCCATACTGAAACGTCATAACTGTCGATTCTTTCACAATTAAACCAATTTTACAACGTGTTCAACTTAAATTACCATAAACTGAAAGAATATCAAAAAATTTTTCAGGTTCAAACTAAGGTTATACTGAGGTTCTATGAACTTCACCCTCTGATCAAGATAAAGACGGAGGTAAATTTTTTGTTGGAAGCAAACTGGACAAGCAAATGACTTGTAGTACGTATGACAAAAAAAAACGTAAATTGACATTCGTTTACAACAAGTCGGTACAACTGGAACAGGTTTCGTAAAACTCTCTGTCCTACACTAATAAAGGTCATAAAAAGGGTACATGTTTCTACTGGCGTAGTAGCCGTATGTAAACGTGTAAGTTGAGTCCTGTTATGTAATCCTTTCAGCAAATTACATGTCTCTTTTTGTCATTACCAGGTTTCTTTACCTTGGAACACCTTAGGGTTGTCCCAAGTGTCCATCCCCCTAAAACCGAGGCAACTGGTTTGGTGACAAACAGACAAGCTATTCATTCTGAATTTCCAACCCCCATCCATCTCAAACTCCCTTTTGGCCGAGCTCTATGTGAAAAACAATATAAGGTACCTTACAAGAATTGTAGAGACTATCGTTACTTATAGAATTCACGAAACGTTTTTTAGGTATTGGTTTACAGTAGAAACGTTCCGCGTATCAGACATTTTCGTGCTGGTTTAGTAGCTCGGCCGGGTCGATTTTATTGACCTACCGGATGGACGGACAGTCCGCGAAGGTAGACACGTGTTTGAATAAGAGCAACGGGAGTGACACAGTACACGCGCAAACACACACAACCTCCTCCCCGAGACATTCCTTCACCGTCTAACAAAAAGCCGGGACACCATAAAGTTAAAGTTCGCATGAGCTCGACCAAAGAAGGTTTTAATGGATTGGATGGGAATTGGGTTACATAAACTTTAGACGGCTCTTTTTAACTTTATTCAGCGAAAACATTCCTCGTAAACCACCAGTTGTCACAGTTTTTCGGAAGGACTCTAGTTCCTTCTGGCGTGGTGTATACCCTGTTACAGGTTGTATGAAGATTGGAAAAAGGTGGTTTCTGTGTCAATCACATAGTCACCTCACCACTCGTGCCTTTGGTTTGACGTAACCCCCTTCATCCTCGCGCTTGGAAATAGATTTACAAACGACCTAATCAAGAACCTGTGCGTGTAAGAGTCGAGAGCAATCTCTTTGTCCCTCCTACGACTAACCAGACATTAGACCTGTAGTAACCGGAATAGGGGTCTATTTTTTAGCACAGTGGCACCGGTAGAAGGTCCTACTACCTTTGAAGGGGGTATCTAAACTAAAATGATCGTTATCATTAACCAAAATACTCTGGCAGTTATAAACAGAAAATATTTCAGCCAAAGATTTAGTAGACGTAGGGGATCGGAATCTTGGGAAAATTGGATTCTACTTATACAAAATGGAGGTGGAGACACTAAAGGAGGTCCAGTTTTTGCCCTACACATAGGGGTGTCCAAAGTTCAAGAGAGGATGGTTTGCGGGGAAAAAAACGGTCTTTTCTTCAATTCCTGTATGTTTTCATATCGCAATATATAGCGCAGGGGGGGGAAAATCGCAATGTCAGTTTTTTTCAATATCGTGCAGCCCTACATCAATGTGCACTGTCCCTCTTCAAATAAACGATTAAATGAAATGAAAATATTAAATGTACACACATTTTTCTGATATTTGAAAATGCAAAGCGGATATAATTTTGATTCTTAAGGTCCTTTTTGATCGCAATAACTACACTAATAAGTACAGAGCTCTAAAAAGTCAATCCTACTAAGCCAACCTTAGGCAATCTTTAATAGCTTAACAATAAACAAGAGCAATTGCTTAAGAAATACATCACCTGTTTCAAACTACAATAAAACCTTAAACAAACATGTCTTCATGCTCTCAGGAGGAGGTCGGTCAGAACCATGCCATACGCTGAAGGACGATATGAAGGAACATACCCCGCATTACCCCGGCACAAATGCTGCACAGATGTGCATGACTACAGGATGAGAATAAATGGTGCACTGGGTAAACTGGCAGCACAGGGAGTTTGAGTCTTAACCATGACCTCATCTGTTTAGAGAGCATCGGATGAAGGGAGGGATGGAGGGATCAGCAGGCAGGATACAGAGGGGGGTCTGGAAATTGGGGTTGGGGGTCATGGATGCCATGTCGGCAAATGCGTGTGCCGGTGCATGTGTGTGTGTGTATTTTAAAAAGGTGAAATGAGGCACTGCAGCAGCCTTGACCAGTCAGGGGAGGGAAAGGCACGGATCAGCGGTCACTGAACACACAACGCCCACCTGAACCTCCCCCTCACTCTGTCATTTTTCTTCTCTAAAATCTCTCCCAATGTTTTTCTAGGGGGTCGACATTAAAAAAGGAGAAAGACCCCTCTCATTTTGAAACACTGGTTTGCAGATCAGTATCTATTGGTAAATCTGAGTGTAAAATATATTGTTGGGGTCTTCCCTTCCACCTCATAATGAAGCAAAACTCAGTTGTTTTTCGTAATAGACGAATTTACAAATGTATCTCGCTCAAATTAAGGTCATATGAATTTACAATAATTAATTAAATGCTGGAACACTTCAACCTTTTGAAGAACTGCCACTGTTTTTATTAATGTTTTTCTGATATTGATGTTAAACAAAATCAAAACTGATCTGGAGGAAAAACATTGTCTTAATTATTATTCTGGACACTGACTTATGTTTAAAGACATACAAAATTGGATTTCGCATTATAGGAGACCTTTAATAAACTAACCTAATGGTAAAAAATATAACCCCTTTTTTCTTTACATCAACAAGCCATGAGAAATTGAAAGAAATGTTGGCTTTTTTTGCAATTCAAACTGAAAACAACATACTATGCCTTTTACGTATTTCCTTAAAAACTTGATAATTGTAGGTTTAATAACAACATTCCCACTGCCAATCTGAAACATCGGACGGCGAAATAAACGGTTATAAAACGATTCTGTTGGACAGAATTTGACTGGCCTGACCTTTGCTACAAGGCAGGATATGGTCAACCCTCCTCATGTGTATATACAAAACAACACACACCTTGATCTTCGAATGGATGTGTCTGAGGGCGTCTGCGGTGCCCATGTCTCCATCTTCCTGAATGCATACCCAATCGAGCTTCATCTTCACGTCTTGCTTAATTTTAGGGTCTGTGCTCATCATCTTCTGAACCTCTTTGGTGGTGATTACTATCACCTCTGAAAAACAGTTCACAAAAGTAGGTATTAAAAATAATATACAATAGATAGCTTCAATATGTCAAAATGAGTCAAAGCTCCAATGTTATTTATCCTTCACGGTCGGGTGATACCTTTGTTTCTAATGAGCTTTGTATTATTTTCTTCAAATAAAACATATTTTCTCACTGAAATCTATACGATCGCAAATCTTCATAATATGATCAAACACATCACGTAGCTCGCTAATGCTGCATTATGTACACTAGATTTAGTTCCAAATACAAATACTTTTGTATGATGTTTTTTACATTTCTAAATAAATTACCTTGACGTGCATTTTTAGAGAACGACATTTATGAGTAGAATAACGGTCTTTCTCTCTGATCCTTTAATGGATGAGAAAAAATATATCGGGACATATGTATTCTCTTGCAAAAATAACAAATTCAAAGATACATTGATCAGTAGAAAGACTAAAAAAAAAAGTCCACCTAAGATGTGTATGTACACCCTGAAGCATAAAATCAAGCCAAGACCCCTACCCTACTTTTTTATTTATAAAGTTGGTAACAACATTAACTGAGCACTTTATGAATCCAGAACATTGCAGAGTCCGTCTAGTTTAATTGGCTTTGTCTACATAAAATGGTTTCTACCGGGCATTTGTTCACTCTAGCTGTGTCAGCCTAGTAAAACCAAATTGCAGGGCTTTGGCTAGCTGGCTGCACACAGTAAACTGTTGGCCACACAGGATGATTATGAATAGAAAGATAGTTTTACTCCAGCTAGTGAGGACCTGCAGGCTTTTATAACAAACAGCCCTGTTTACTGGCAAGAACAGCATACTGCAACAAATCCCTTTATAAGCCCAGGGTTTCTGGACCGACTGCATGCTGCAGCACAAGAGGCGGAATCTGGACTGTAAATCTAGGCAGGAAATGCACACCTGACAATGGCTGATGATGTGATGACAAGCTGGTGAAAGTACAACTCGGAAAAGCAGCACAGTAATAAACGTGTTTAATGTAGTGAAAGGAGCAATGTTGCCGGAGGACATTTGAAAAAGCACTCTCCTTCCCTCACTTCTTTATACCAAACAGCACAGCTTCCACTGGCCATGCATACAATAGAAAATAGATTTTTACTAGTATTAGTATAGTATTTTACCTATACAATAATTGTGTTGCATGAAAACAGTTATAATCCTTATGTTAGAAAAGGAGGTGATCATTTCTCTTAAAGTCCCTCTTTCCACAATATTGCTAACACTGAGTTTGCACACTTTTTGTTCTAGGTTTTTGAGTGGGCCCTATACACTGACACTAGAAGTACTGGTTTTATTTCTGCTTCTTTACATTTTATTTGGAAACTAACCAAGCACACTGGTGTACTTCTGTAAGACCTTCCACCCCTGTCACAGGATGGAGAGCTAAAGCTAACAAGGTCACAACCTTCAGATCAAATTAATGGGCAGCTCTCACAAGGACATTTGACAGTATCAGACCAGGCTGACTGCGCATTTAATAACAAATGTTTATATCTTTGAGCCATCTTTTATCTTGTTAATCATATGCAGGATAAAATAAAGACATCATACATATTCCATAATGATGACAAAATGAAAGACAGAGAAAGAAAGACCTAAATTGTTCCTTATTTGTCCATTGTTTTCACTTCAGAGTCCTGCAGTCCAAACTCACACATGTGTTTTTATTTATTGTGGCTAATTAGACTGCTCAGGTGGAGGGAGGGCCGGTCACTAACCTGTCCCATCCTAAAGGGGGCCAACTAATAAGGAGTGAGGTAGATTTCAATCCAAACACAGGCTGTACACACCAACGCAGAAGCATGTTTTTGTATATGGCATTGTTGTGAATAATACTTATCAAAGTATTCAGCAGCAGGGGTACCGGCAATTGAGACATGTGTAGCAGTAATGGTAGAAGTACTTTAAGCTCTCACCTTCAAAGCCCACCCTCTCCAGCAGGTTCAGCGGGTACCACATGAGGGGCTTGTTGCCCACAGGGAGCATTGGTTTGGGGGTGTTGTATGTCAGATCGGTCATACGAGAACCTCCACCAGCCGCCATCAACACCGCCTGGAGCTCCATGATGTCTGCTGGAAATGGCTAACAGGGAGGGACAAACAGAGAGATTCAAGTTGTTCTCATTTGCTTTAAACACTTTACTCATTCAGAAGTTACATTACACAATAACACTATGCTCACACAGGCCTCATCTGAGATTGGCTGGGGAACAATCCTTTCACATTGGACACAAAATACAAACTATTCAATCTAATATAAAAGCATGTGTATAAATAATATTAGGTATATATTGTGTCAATAAGTTGCATGATATCCAAGAAATGCTGAATTGTCAGTAAAATATTCATATAATAGAAGGTGAAACAAAGTCTAATAAATAAATAATAATTCTTTCTTGAGTAAGGTATTAATACAATGCTGCATTGAGTTGGAGTCTTTTGTCCACATGCCATGTAAACTATTTCAATACTTTTCAATTAAAACAGCTGCATTTTAATAACAATATTGGTATAAAAAAGTAATAATTCAAAATTAAGACTTGTGTCTTACATGTATAGCGTAGTAATACAATTCAGCATTGACTTGAAGTCCTTAGTACACAACACATGGAAGCTATTGTAAACATCCAATAGTTTAGTAATCAATTAGCAAGGACGTATTGGACATAACATTGATGTATTATTATTTATTGATGGTTCCTAAGTTAAACCCTGTGGTTAAGAGAGGGCTCGGATATGAGCTAACCTCTGACTTCTCCATTATGTCAAATTGGACATGTCATCAACACAGCAACCAAGACTGCCATGTATGTGTTACACTGGGGTGATATGGTGAAGGCACACTTCTAACTGAATCTTTACAACGTGGCATTAACAAGAAGGTGACATTTTCATACTGCCTTGCTGAATAAATGAACAATAAGTTATCTATGTACCTGTCAGTGATTCCTGTTGATCCACAGCAACGTGAAATGACAGCAGCTGCAGACGCATGTAAAGTTGGCTGCTGTCACTGTTGTTAGCACTTAGCTAACGATTAGCACCGAGCAGCAAACGATACCGCTGCTATTAAAACAGCTACAGAGCTGGACACGTCCTCTGAGAAGAAAACACCAACTCCGATAAGCGTTGGTGGCAAAAGTACAATTTCCCGTTTAATTATTTGACAGAGTTTACGTAAAGAGAGCAAAAAGCTAGCATCGTATGATGACACCTGGGTGGTTTCAGTGAAATATGTCCGTGTAGGAAACTACTTCCTCCGTAAAGTGGTTCCTACTGAGAGGAGAAGAACAAATGGTGCAGCGCAGCACAGGTTTCTTTTCACAATTATCATTTGTACGCTTACATTTAACCGGCTCGGACTTTTTCATTACAAAATATTGAAACAACAGCAAATAGTGGAAAGAATGTTCTGGTTGCAGTACCAACTTAAAATACATTACAGGCTAAATTCATGCATGTATGCAATTTAAGTAATCATTAGGCGTAAGTGTTATATTATTGGATCATAATGAATTATTTACAAATATGAACACAAACGAAACGAATACCAAAATAAAGACACATTAAACAATCTATTTCTTTAACATCTAAATACCTATCACTTATGCTCACATACAGTTTAGCATCACTATCTGGCACACATCCCACTACCATCCAACCCAACGGTAAAAACATCATTCTTATCAGCAAACACCAGTTATATTGAAGAACAATCAGCTTACACAACTTTCCAGTAATAATATAAATATGTTTATTTTTACTAATTATAACCAAAAACATGATGATAGAAAAAGTTTTGACTAAATTTACATTGAAGATGTGGATGGGTTTCTATGAGTTTTTGTCGTCTATGATTATGTTTACATACATGTTTAATACATCACATAATTTATACTTTTATTATTTTCAGTGAGTATTTGCAACTGATTGACTGCTATGAAAAATAATAATACCTTCAAAATACACATGTTTTATTTTGGCTAGCCTGACCTTAATAGAAGTAATCCTGTAGGTTCACACACACACACACACACACACACACACACACACACACACACACACACACACACACACACACATACACACACACACACATACACAGAGATAGAGAGAGTGGTGTGAGCCGATTAGCAGCCAGAAGCCACCCAGCTACTCTTCAAGGCTTCAAGCTTGAAAACTCCCAATTCATAGAGCTGAGACGTAACAGCAAATTGAGCTCGGGGAATGTGGCTTTGGTTTTGTTTGCTCTGGCCAGGAGATGAGCTTGACTGCTCGTTGCTGCCTGCGTGAAACCAGAAGAGCAGGATAAAGGAGGGAAAAAGGAGTCATAAAAAAAGGAAGGAGACAACAAGCTCGCCTGCATGTTGTTTTCTATCAGCATATTGAACTAACATAATAATGGAAGTAGGGTTGAAATGTTGGAGGAAGAAGATGAGGAAGTCAAAATAGGTTTTAAGATGGTTTTCTTAAAAAATGGGGTCCTAAAGTAATTATTAGGAGTTGGGAGATGAGTGATCGAAGGGTAGAAAGAATAGGAAAACATGGAGATAGATGTAGACAGAAAAGAGAGTGAGGTTTTATAATGGAATGTCACAAACATGCTTCATGCTCACATTTCCTTCCCATTTGGATCTTGATTGTGTGAACAGCTGATGATTTTACCCTGCCAACCCATCATGGTGAAGACGCATACTCAGCTTGAATTATTTTAGGCTGAACCATTCAGGCAACTTATGGCTCTTTCTAAACGAAGATGTGGTGTATCAGCACATTTAGCACAGAGATATACATCCACTTTCAGCAGCATATCGTAGACTGCTGCCTGTACAAAAACTCACCCTGGAAGAACAATTTATTTACCATTAAATGTGGTTTTTCAGTGTAAAACCATTGAAACTCATTAGACTCTGAGACATTATTCAGACATAGTTCTTTATAAATTGTCCTTATGAAGTTCACCAGGAATTGTTTTCATAAAAATGTAAGCTCGTAACAAATACAAAAACCAGATGAATGCATTTCAATGACACATACTTTATAAATGAACCAACAATACATTTTTATGTAACATGTTATACTTTCCAGCATACTCAAGCTACAAAAGGTCCTTTATGTTTTCCTGTTCCTCCTCTTTACCCGCCAAGTTTACAAGGTGTTGTCAGTGTGCAGGTGGCATCCCTCTCTCTTCATAAAAAGGGGGATCTGGCAAAAAAAACGAAGCTCCAATAAAAGTCAATCCAAACCACACTGACACTCACAGAGATTACTGCTTGACTGGTTTACCACAGAGCGCTGATGTGTGCAGGACATTCCACATAACTAAACTGGAGGGCTGCAGTTTATTGGTGTCACTGAAAGCCCACATGACAAGGACGCAAATGTGTCTGCCAAAGATGAAAAAAGGGTGGATGTTAGTTTTGTAATTCACTTGAAAAGAGGCCATGCCAACAGTATAGTCATATCCTTTTTTTCTTGAGAGACAATAATATTGCTTAATCTTTTCTGCTAATGGCTTGTTCATTAGAAGCCAAGGAGTCAAAGGCAGTGATAGATTGTTATCAAGGTTTTTCTTTTTCCCTTTTCTGTGAGAAACTAAATGCTGAGAATGAGGGTGAGAGACTTCACAGGCAATTGAAAATCCGCCAATCCTTTACGTTTTGCATATCGTCAAAGCCCAGCTAATTTGTCAAATGAAGACATTCGTCTAAGCGATGAGTATGGGGCAAAAGACAAAAGACACAAACACAGAAAGCCAAAGCTCTGAGACAGAAACAGATGGATATAGGCATAAGAGCCGGCACAGAGACAAGTGTGCAGGTCTAGTCACAGAGTGACTTGAAATGGAGCCCTAAGATTTCCTCTGATTTCCTCCTCCCTCCTTTTGGCCCTGTTGCTGCGTCTTGTAAATCATTCTCAATTCACTGAAACAAGCCAGTTGGATTAGCTTGGTTTAGATCATAAACATTTGCAGCACAGACCACCCAGCGAGAGAGCACAGCCAAGACGAGAGTGTGTGTTAGTGTGCATATATGGGTGTGTGTGTGTGTGTGTGTGTGTGTGTGTGTGTGTGTGTGTGTGTGTGTGTGTGTGTGTGTGTGTGAAGCCTCCCTCTGAGTTAAGAGGTGGGCACTGCTGCACATATACGCTCAAATGTGGTCTCACACATACACATGCGCACACACACACAGACATACTTTTACTGTGGTTTGTGTTTGCGCCACTTCCAGGGCCAGTGCACTGTGGGGCCCTCACCGCTGCCGTGGAAACCAAAACAGGCCTGAGATTAACACAAACACACACACACACACACACACACACACACACACACACACACACACACACACACACACACACACACACACACACACACACACACACATACATACACACTGATACAGATGTCTCAGTGCACTGCTGCATAACAATACAGATCTTTTTTTACTGTAAAATAAAGAGATTTCGTTTGCAGACGTCAATTCATTTCTTCTTTATGCTTTCAGACACGGTGAATGTTTTTTCCCTCATTTTTCTTAGGACTCAGGCCCCCAACACGGATTTGTTAATCGTCACTTCTCGAAAGCAGCTGCAAAGCGTTAAGTGTCATCGACCCCAACAACTGTGATATGAGGCATGTTTTCCAAAGAATCGAACAAATAAATGCCTTATTTTCTTACAAAAGTTCAACATTCTGCGTCATCAGACCATTCAAATCATTATTTCTCACTTGAATACAGTTGGAGTAATTCCTCTCTTGTTTCTCTCCATATGCACAAGGTATCTGAGAGCCAAGCTGGTGTGAGAACCAGGAAATATCTGGGCCGGGTTTTGAAGAGCCAGAGAGCAAAGCTGGGCAACTCCCTGCCGCAAGGATCTGGCACTTATTCCTGTACGCTGCTTTCTGTCTAACTGACTTTCTAACTGTGTGTATTGTCTTTTAATGTAATTTTACTTGCATTAGTTGCCAGTATTATATGTCCCCGCCATGTTCTTCTGTTTCCTGTTTATATCTTATTGGCCCAAATACGAGTTCTGTTTTTCAATCAAATATAGGGCCCTCTTGTGTTCAAGGAATGCACATTTGAATATTGGAAGCAGGTGTTTTCAATAGAGTGCATGTCTCCAATCATTATCATTATCCAATATTTAGATTGTAAATCTGTGAATACATTGTACAATCCATTTACTTAACATTTAATTTCATCAATAATTGTCAATTTGCCATTACATACCGTTATATGCAAAAGAGTAAATGTTTTGGTTTCAATGATAGTGCTGTTGCTTTAGCCATTTATTTAGAAGGTAACATGTTAAAAAGAATATAAGACGAGGGATAAAGGGAATAAAGGAGTACAAAATATTAAGGGTGTGTGTGTGTGTGTGTGTGTGTGTGTGTGTGTGTGTGTGTGTGTGTGTGTGTGTGTGTGTGTGTGTGTGTTTGTGTGTCTGCATGTTTGGCCTGTGTGGGTGAGGGACCTCCCAGTCAGTGGACAGTCCGTCAGACAGAATGTGGCCACAGAAAGACACACAAACTTTGTAAGCTTTGTATTTATCGATAGTTTGATATATTAAATGGGATTAAACATGTCTTTCCTTTGGGAAATAACATTCACAGGATGTGTTGAAAAAACAAAACACCCAGGACAAACAAAGCATGATCAGGAAATGCTACTAAAAAAAAGGTCTGTTGAGATTCATTATTATACATTCAAAGGAAAACATAATCTAAAGTACAGTACAAACTATTGTCCACATCCAAAAATCCATCTTATTTAAAAATGGTTCAAGGGTGAGCACTGACTCAGCAATACCTTTAGCTTTTTTATGTATAAACCTGCCCTGTTTAATGTACAACACACCCACAACATTTGGTCATGTCTGATCTCTTTCTATCTGGTGGCCTGTGTGTCGTTAAACTTTCCTTCTCTTTCAGCAAAAACAGAGTGAGTGCACGTACATACACAGACACAAACATGCACGCGCCTACATTACACACAAAAAAGTCTTCTTTTCAACTGAAATAAATGTTTATGGCATTCCAAACATTTTGTGTGAGAGACAGTATGTGTGGTCCTGTCTGCACCTAGCAGGAGGTTTGAGGTTAAGGTGTTTGTCTGCTAGCGTGTTGTGAGCTGTGCTGTATGTGTGCATGTCAGTGATCTGTGCAAATGAGAGAGAGAGAAAAGGAGTGTGTAACCACCATGTTTCTAATATATATTTGTTTTAAATGAGAAACAAAATAATTTACTAGATCCAAGATTTG